GGGGGAAGTGAGGGGAGTGAGGAGGGGGGGGGGAGTAAGGGGTGGGAAGTGAGGGTGTTGGAGATTTAAGGGTGGGGATGGGGATGGTGGTGTATGCGAATGGGATATATAAAGGAGATTTTTGTGTTGTTTGGCGTACGGTGGTCTGGATGGATGGTCTGGATGGATTTTTTGGAGCTTGAGCTTGTTTGTTTGGTTGGTAGGTATACTGTGTACTGTGTTCAAGATTCCCCGCAGTTGTTTGGATATTGTGTGTTTAGGTGGGGGGAAGAAAAGGAATATGAAGAGTTCCGATGCAAGTGTTGGTCATACACGAGTACTGTACCGACCGACCCGAGATTTATTACGATGCCCGGCAGGCGTGCGATGGGCCTCAGCTTCTTCAAAGGAGGCGCGCTGCCGATCTGGGAAGGAAGGTATCTCTTAACAGACCCAAGGAAGGTAGGTGCAGTGACCAGCAACGGAAGGAAGACCACAAAGCTTGAAGACGTCCGTATAAATGCGTGTCCGGTTCCATCCCGGGCCATCCCTCGCTTGGTTGCTGTCGAGTCCTTTCTTCTCCCGTCCAAAACCATGCACTTGGATTTTGACTTTGATTTTTTCCCTTGCTGTACGTACACGCAGCAATCTTTCTCCTTTGAATGCGCACCATCTTTTTGCCGACACAGACAGGAACAGCCCCATCATTCATACCTTTCATCTCGCCAGCATCGCTTCCGATGTCAGCCACGAACCGTCAGTGCGTTTGACGGACGTGAGCTCATCTACACACACACACAGTACGAGAGCACAGCCGTTATCGGAACTTTGTTTAACATGGACCTACCTAACCAAAGGCATCTTCACGATACTCGAGCATATTCCATCCATCGTTGCTTACGGTTCTTCGACGCATTAAATCGCTGATCGTAAGACCTCTTTTCCTACACACTCATGATGGTGCTGATGCTTGGCTTGGTATGTACAAGGTACGTTACAGAAGATACACAGCATCTTCACATTGCAGATGATCCGTTCCTTCGACATTGCCTTCCATGTGATTAATAGACATGCACTTCACAGGTACATCGACATACCGTGCGTGATACGACTTCTTTTATCCAAAGCGAGTCCCTTATCAATCATCGGCCCTCATGATCGATATCTTTCCTCGAGTCAGGCTGTGTGCAAGGTTGCAACCCTCTAGAGGTAACTTACTCTCAGGCACCACCGCTGCGAACGTAGTAGTAGGAAAGCGGCACAGCAATTCATCCAGCTGTGCATATTGCACAGTATGTACCTTGCTTGATCCAAACTCGTTGCTCGCACCTCGTTGTCGGCCTTGATTGTTTGCACCGACCCACGTGTTCGCAAGCTCTGCGAGATGGCGAGAGTCCAGACCACGCACGACTACCCGAAAGAATTCAATAATCGTGATCGTTCGAATCAATCACCCAGCCCGCCCGCGATCCATCGGTTCGGCTGTTAGTTGGTTCGCTTTGGGATTTCCTTGGTTCCGAGCGTGCGAGCGCGTGCTGCCCGCAAAGTGAAGTGAGGGGAAAGCTCCATATTCCTCATGTTCCTGCCTCCCTCACTTGCCGAGGGAATCAATCGAGTACCGCACCTTTGTAAGTCGCAACGTTTTAGGACCTTCCCAGAGTGGGAGATGGACCCCAAATAAATACAAATAAATGTATGCATGTGTTCGAGCTAACTTCGCCGGTAGGTCTCGGTCCTGCATGCTGCGAACACCTAGTTAAAAGTGGCTTACTGCGCTCGGTTGGTCAGGTAAGGTGGTATTGGATGGATTTGGCGCTCGTGGTGACTATGGTGCCGGTGCCTGTGCCTTGCGCCTTTTCTTTTTCCTTCCCCAAGAACTGAATGGGAGGACGGGAGGGAGGGTGATCGGTTCGTTCCCCTTCTGTCTGTTGTCTGTTGTCGTTTTTCGCGCCATCTTTGATTCTTTCCCGTTCGCTGCTCTCCTTGCTTTCTCAATTCTTGCGGAATTTAGTTCGCAGCCGTGTTTTTCGTTTGAAGTTGGCGTGGTTGTCTTGTCTTTAACATTGTTTACGTGCGCACGCGCAGCGTCCTTGTCGAAGCGCTCAACGCCTTTGACCCTTCCCTTCACCTACAAGATTTTACACACACAGCGAGATGACCAACAGCGAGTGAGTGATGGGATGAATGAGTGATCGATAACGACAAAGCGACGGGACTCAGCCGAGAATTAGAAAGCAACGCTACCAACAATGAGGTCGCAACCAACAACAGACTTTGGATTCCTGATGGCACGACGATAATGGATGTATGCCCCATCCAAGGGTGTAACAACTTCAACAGCAACAGCAACACGACACGACATCACTGGTTCACAACGGAACTGAACTGGATCCACGAACTCACGCTCGCTGCTGATCATATCTTCTTTTCATCTCACGACCACACACTCAACTTCATGAGACCATATCACCAACTCCTAAAACAACACACGGCCGACCAAACAAAAATATGGACTTCATCCCACCTCCCTCCAACAACTCCCCTCAAATTCCATTACCTACCTCGGATATCCATTCCCCTCCTGACCTCCACTCCTCACCATCATCACCTCTGGATCCCCATCCCCCACCTTCCTTCTCCCACTTCACACCCCTCGGCTCCTCCCCCCCTCCCACCCCCCCTCCCGGAACTGCAAATCCCCTTCCTCGCCACGACCCCTTACACCTTTGGCACCAATTTCTGGAATTTCCCCCGCTCCCATGGATACGGAGACCAGTGGTCCTCGCTTCCGGCGAAGAAGCTGGCGGGGTTGGCGCAGGAGTGGCTCTGGTTCGGGGTGTTGTCGGAGTTTTTGGGGGGTAGTGTAAGGAGTGGAGATTTCAGGAGGAGACGACGACGGGCTTTGGGAGGAAGAGGAGGAGTTGCACTTGATGCAAGTGGAAGGTATGGCGGGGAGGGGTGGTGGGGGGAGTTGGAAGGGGAGTTGGAGGGTGGCGGTGGCATTGAGAATCGAGGGGAAGAGGAAGGGGAAGATGGCGTCTTCAATCGGGAGGAGGAGCACCGGTATACGGATAGCAGGATACGGGGTGGGGAGGCGGACGTCGAAAGGATAGCGGGGATTTTTGGAGATGGCGATGATGCCGATGCTGGATGGGATGGAGGGACGACGATGTTTGAAGGGGAAGAAGGAGGAATGATGGTGGAGATTGGAGTGGATTCTTCGCTTGTGGAAGGAATTCTGGAAGAGGCCCAGAAAGAAGAAGAGGAGGAAGAGGAGGAAGACCGATATGTCGTCAACGGGAGGAAAGCGTTGGAGTTGTTGGATGATTGGATCGGTGTTCGGCTTGGGCTTGGCCTGGGGTTGGGACACGGCTCGAGTACCACTTTGCTGGTAGGAAGGCCTAATCGACATCGACTTTCAAGGCAACAGAAGAGAAGAAGAAGCGCGATGATGGTGGGAGGGAGACGATTCCTTGGCAAGAAGGAAGCATTCTCCAGGCGACAATTCCTGACGCAGGTTTTTGCATTGGCGGAAGACCTGGAGCAACTTTCGGAAAGCCACGTTTATCCATTGCCAACGGTGTTGCTGTCCGTCAAGGTGCTGTGCTGTACACTTGACGGGCTTCTTGTACAGCTCTGTCCGGCTTTGGAATTGGAGGGTGGTGGTTTAGGACGGCCGATACTTTCGAATCTTTTGGAGAGCGGGATGGACGGGCCGTCTCCGAGCGCGCAGGTACTACTCGATTTCTTACGCCTGGAGCGCGGATGGTGTCCGTACTATCTACGGAAAACGGCCATGGAGAACGACTACGCAGCAATTTACTACATCAGTCGCTTCGGTCGAGGAGCAGGAATGCCAGTCGACAGTGAGCATAGGGATTGCTCGGAAGGCAAATGTTTGGTGGTTCATCACCAGCCACCACCAATGTCAAAACACGTTCGAGAACGCTGTCAGTGTCCCGCCATCTCGTCTAACCAGCAGAAGATTAGGGAAATATTGTTGTCGGGCGGGATTCCAATCTTGCAAGTCAAGGGCGAGCCGAAACGGGGATTGAGGATTAGGGTGAAAAGGCTGGATTCGAGGATGCGCTTTGTCGTTTTGTCGCACGCCGCAGCCGCAGCCGGAGCCGGAGCTGCAAGTAATAACATAATGTACGAATGTCGGCTTCGCCAAATCCAGGGGCACCTCGATGAACGGTCCGGGGCGAAATTGAGACACGGACGAAGAAGGACCGGGGAGTACACCTCCTTGGGAGAAAATAGTAATGGGCACCGAAACCAACGAAAGACACAGATGACACAGTACTTTTGGCTTGACACGCTGTGCATACCGATCACGGAGCAAGGGGGTGTCGGTGTCTTTGATGAAGCCAGAGCAGAGGCAGTCAACAAGCTTCAGGCAGTATACACTCTAGCGGATAGGGTTTTGGTCCTGGATCCGGCGATGGAGCGCACCTCGCTGGAACATACGCCGCTGTGCGAAATGTTAGCCATGTTGGCCGTCAGTCTGTGGATGAACAGCATGTCGGCGTTGCCAGCGATTATCCTGGGCCGAAGATGGGAGGTCCAGTGTGCAGATGGAACGTTTAATCCCTTCGCGCCTCCAGAGAAACTGACCGATGTGGAGGGCCGTGAAGAAGGAAGATTGTGGTCAGGAAAAGGGTCCAGGTGGTTGTTACCGAAGACAATCAGAAGCGAAAATATTTCAGCTTCTCCCCCCGAAGGAATGAATGCCTCTTTACTCATCTCCAACAGCCTAGCACAACAATTCCAACAAACACTCAGCCAACGCTTCAGCAATTCGGACTTCACCACCAGCACAACAACAACAACAACAACAAACACCAGCGAATCTTTCGTCGCGATATGGAACCATATCGCCGACTCTCTTCCCACAGAAGAGCCAAACAGCACCATCGCCACTCTTTGCTCCCTTCTTCCTTTGAATACGCAACCCCTTTTACGTCTATCCACTCCTTCGGAGCGCCTGTCGGTTATCATCTCTACTCTCAACGCCATTCCCCTGTCCCTCTTCTTCAACCCCCATCTGCCTCGCCAGAGGCCGTTAGCGAATCACCGCAACAGGTGGATGCCCAGCTGTGTCCCTTCCAATCAGGACGAGAGACTGATACCACTGCTCCCGGAAACGGATGTTCGAGTTGGAGGAGAAGGAGAGCTGTATTTATCCAATACAAAAGCGAGCAGAAAAGAGGTGGAAGTGCTGGTTTGCATTGATGTGCCCAAAGACTGCAGGGATGTAGCGGGATGGGGCACGGTCAAGGTGAGGAACGCAGAAGACGGGAGGGTCTGGGAGGTGAATCTGTTGAGGAAAGACTGGGAAAATGACGAGATGGCAACCGACGAAAGGGGAATGTTCTGCTTTGTGTTTCTCCGTCGTGGGGAGGAAGAAGGGGAATCAGCAGGGAAAGAACTAGAGGTATGTGAAGGCGCGCTGTTTCGGGTGCGAAAGGTGGACACCAACAACACCACCACTGGAAGGGCGGGAAGGTATAGCGACGGGTATGGTTACAACAAGGACTCTTGTCTCTATGACGACGGCTTTGAAGAATTAAGCGGCGGCGGCGGCATCTCACCGGAGGGAGCACACGTCTCCATGTCCTTTTCCGACAGGCAAAATCACAACAAACTCATGCCGGACGCCGAAGACTTGCGCCTTGCTCTCGCAAGTTATTATCATGTTGAATGGACCATACACACAGTTTATGACTGCCCTGTCACTCTCACGCCTTCGCTGCAGAACAAGGACCCCGTACTAGATGGGGCCGAACTCGTCAAACCCTCCCAGCCAGAGAGCAGCAGCAGCAGCAGCAGCAGAATACCACCACAACCCCCGTTACTCACTGCCATCCCCCTGCCCCTATCCTGGCAAATGCTCATTGAGAAGGAACCCCCCCTTTCCTCGTCAGGAGCATCAGAAGATCCCCAGACCCTTGCGACTCGTCCTCCTCTCGCCGACGTAACCCTACCCCCAACGCTCACGACACACTTCCTCCTGACAGCCCTAGATGGGCTTCTCGCCTCAAGCTGCGTCGGCTTCACGCTGGGAATTCTCGGGACGTCCTTCCCCTTCTTACCCATGATTGCCAACGCCGCGTTGATTGGAAAGCTAGGACTGCATTGCGTTTTCGTCATTTGCATGTTCTGGATTGACGCCGCCACGGATGACGATGATGACGACGACGCCAATGCCAGCGATGCTCAAAAAAGTCGTAGGAGACGACGCTGGGCCAACAGGTGGAAGAAGGGCACCGGTGCTCATGTGCAAAGAGGCGGTGGGATATGGCAAGCCACCAACGGTCAACTGCACGGGCTCAACCTCAGCATCGGAGGGGCCATCTGGGACGTTTTGCATATCGCCATGGTGGTTCTGTACACGGTGGCGCTGGTTCTGCCGGTCGATGGACGGAGGAGAACGCCGAGAGACTTGGACAAGGCGTTTATTGCGTGGAGCATCCTGGGTCATCTGTTTAGCATGCTGGTTAAGCTGGTGGTTAGGGAGTATGTGCTGGAGCCGTTGTTGTTGGATAGGTACCTGGAGAGCTTTGAGGACGAGTCGACTGCGAATAACATGTCCGTGGGTGCGAGTCGAAGGTCGTTCCAGTGGAACGAGAAGGGGGCTTTGATGGTTGAGGTTGAGGTTGGGGTCAGGCAGGTAGTGGACGGGGACGAGGGCTTGCGTGTTGTCCAGAATGATGATGATAATGGGAATGGGGACGAATATGATGATGATGATGTGAGGGACCAACTTCCCTCTCAACGAAATCGACAAGGCCACGGACAAGGACATGGACACGGACAAACATACGGACACAGACACGGACAGGACGAGGATGACATGATGGTTTATGAAGAATGGGATCGGGCGAGGGGTCAAGAAAGACCACGAGAGGAGGAACCTGAACGACATCACAACGACGACAATCGTAACCAGCAAGAGAGAAAAATTAGCCGCCGTGATCGGTTATTTGGAGGTATGTTGAGGAGGACTAAAGCTTTGAGGCTAAAGTCGCACTCGACGACGACAACGACGACGACGACGACGAAGAAGAAGAAGAAACGGTCCAACAAGTCTACAAAAAGGCCGTCGGATGATAGTGATAATATCAGTAACGTGGCGGTTGTGGGACAAGGGGATGATCGTGGTGATCATGGTGATTATGATGGGAATCAAGGGCGTTCTGAGGTTTATTTACTCGCGGAGTTGGAGGGGTGATGGATGGGTTGTTTGCGAAAGATGGTAGGATAGATAAATGTGTCTCTAATATAATTGAGAAGTAAATATTTGTTGAAGCCGTTAGCTTGGAATCGTGAATGATGGGGGTTGTAGAAATACAAAGTGAGACATTTGCTTTGCTGGGGTGGAAAGGTGCCGGAAGGAAGCAGCTGGCTGTGGGTCAGGGTAGGTACCCGGGAGTAACACACTGTCTCAGACCACAGCCACCAAATCCTAGGTACCCGATAGGTCACTTAATCTAGCAGTGCTGCTATAAAGACGCCAACCCCGCTTCCACATCATCGGACAAGCATGTCCTCAGCTCTACTTCACTTCATCACATCTCTATTGACTCTCTCATCATCTTCGACCTAACCTACATTTCACCTTTAATTGACCATCTCATCTGTAATGACCTCACGACGCACAGCAGATTGAAGTAGAGAGCGACAATGTCGGTTCCCAACCTCATAACATGCGAAGTCGACGGCATCCAATATCTTCTTCACCCTCAAATCCTGGCAAGCCCCCCCCCCCTCCTGCTCATCTCTACCTCTATAGACCTCTGGATACACCAGATCATCGGTACCAATACTAACACTTACCTTATTACATCACAGGGAAGCACAGAAGCGCCCATCAAAGCCGACCAAGTGATTCCCGTGCTCCTCCTCACCGAAGAAGAGCTCAACGGCTCCCCAGACCAAATCGGCCAGCTTCTCCAGTACTACGTCGACACAGACGATGTGTGCTCGTCTAGCTTCACTGATATCTTGGTTGAGAAGCCATCAACAAAGCAGAGCAGCAGCGGCAGTCCATTTCTTCCAAATAGGAGGGACTGTACGCCTTGTTCGCGTCGTGCAACCTACCGCCTACGCAACGTTGCTGGCAGAACGTCGTTTACCAGAAACAGGCCCGAATATGAAACCGAAGGTGACCCCGAACATGATGAAGATGACAAGAACGATAACGAAAACCCCCTCCCCTCAGGCCCTTACTTCCTAAGTGGTCCCAACCTCCACCGCGCCTACCGCCTGTACCCAGACACCCAAGACGCTTTTGTCTACGGCATGATTCCCAATGACGTCTACAACCCCTCCTCCTCTGGGTTTAAGTCCGTCTCGTTTTTGGCTCAAGATAGCATGTCCAAGACGATCCCCGTTCCTTCCAGGCATTATACCCGCTTCACCGCCCTCGCATCCCAGTCACACAGCGAAAAGAAACAAAAGAACCAAAACAACCAACCAAGTTCGATAAGAGGAAAGCGAATAACCCTAACCGACGGCCTCCAAGTTGCCGGTACACAAACGACCCTTTCTTGCAAAGCCTATGTCAACACTTATCCTGTCTCTACGGAAACGGATGCTTACGTCCAGAGACTACTGGAAGAGGGCGCGGTGTTGGTTGGGAAAGCAAAGACGAGTCAGTTGAGAATTGCGAATTCATTGTGGCCGGATACGCATTTCCCTGCTAATCCGAGGAGTGCGAGGAGGAGGAGTAATGGTTTGGGGAGTGGAAGTGGAAGTGGAAGAGGAACGGGTTCGGGAACGGGAACGGGAACGGGAACGGGAACGGGAACGGGACCGGGTTCAGCGTCTGCGGTTGCTGGGTATGAGTGGTTGGAGGGTTCTATTGGTGGGGATGGTGAGTACCTGTCTTTTTTCTTTTTTGTTTGGGTTGTGGTTGTGGTTGTGGTTACGGAAGAAGGGGGAATTGTGAAGTGAAGGTTGGCTGACTTAAATGATTTTTGGACATATAGTGGACAGCGCTGTGAGAGAATCGGGGGAGAGGTATGGGCTTTATGGGTTGCGGCGGTCGTTGACTGCGGAAGACTCTGACAAGGACAACATGAAGTCGACATCGGGACCGGAACTGAATGGAGGACACGTGGGTATTTTTGGGAGGAGCTTACATGAGCTGTCTCTTTTGGCCGAGTGTGCCTTTCCTCTTCCTCTTGGTGGTTCAACGAAGGACGACCCAAGCCGCAACAACGCTGTTAAGAGAATCGTTTATCTTGACTACGCCAAGGATGAAAAGCTGGAACATGCAATGGATGCTTTCATCAATACACTCGAACGATATTTGCAGGTGGAAAGGACGACTGTCATCAAGCTGGATGAAGAGTGGAAGAAGTACAGGGTGAAAAGGGGGTTGGAGTTTTCTCTTGGTGAGGTGAGTTCTAACGTTATCCCTCTCTCTTTTTTTTCTCCCGTCCCTATCACAGATATTCATGCCTAGGTTCCTACATTTTGTATTTTTAACCCACCCACAACCACGAGCTGACATCAAGAACCATCCCTGAAAGACCTCACGACTTCTCTACGACCTAAACCACTATCACGAATACGCCGACTTCAGAAAGGATTACCAGGAAAAGTTCCACTCCAGCCGCGGGCTCGCTGATCTTGAGGCGCAGGTTTTATGGTACGTTAAATACATCCTTCCCTCCATCTACTGACCACGAGCATCACCAACCAAATGTGAGCATACTTGCTAACACAAGCCTAACTGTCTTGCAAATAGGTCCTCAGCCCGTGCCCACCTAAATCAGCACCAACAACTGCAAGATGAAGTCAAGATCTTCAGTGACTGGCTCCAGCAGCATGTGCTCAAGCCAGAAACCGCAGACGCTGCTGTGGCTAGCACCGGAGAAGGTGATACCATCATCGTCATACCAGATGTCAGTTTTCATCATTCAAAGAGTCATATTATAGGGTTTTCTGGACGGATGCTTGGTTTCGAGGAGTAAGTTCCCCCTATCATTCGCGCCCTTTCAGGCATAACTCTATTGTTGTGGTGTGAGTGAAAGGTTACCTACTGACAGTTTCTTTTTCGCTGGGATTTAGTATGCTGTCAAGCAAGATGGCGACGCCACAGCTTTCGGTACCTTGTATGCTACCTCCAACCTATCTCCGTATCACCACGCACATGGTACATGATCTCAAGTCACTGACACTAACATATATGTCTGATAAACAGTCACGCAAATCCCAGGTAAACAGCTAGGCGATGAGCAAACATACACGCCCGTCGTCGCGTCTGTCATCGGCCCGAAGAGTAAGTCGACATCCTCAGCTTTTACTACCTCCTAGTCTAGCCTTCTGCTTCAAGCATTTTTCACTTGCAACTTCCAACTTTTGGATAAAACCGTATCTAACACCCCTCCTCCCAAAAAGTGACAGACAAATCCCTCATAACCCTCATCACCAAAGCCCTCACAGCCTCAGGCCTCCCCACATCCGTCCAACCGGGGCCGTTATGTTTCCCGCTTCCTGGTGACGCTGACGCTGACCCTGCCTCCGACGCTGCCTCCGACATCGACCATGACAACAACAACAACAACAACAACAAAACAACGACAAGAAGGAGACAGCAAAGGAGACAGCAGCCAAGAAGAAGAAGCTTCATGCTATGTGCATGTCTTTGGAAGAAGATTCAATCCTCAAGACAGCAGAAGCAGAAGCAGAGGTGAGCCAGAGCCTGAGTCAGAGGTCAGGGTCGGGGTTACATGTGCAAGACTCGGGGGGTTACTTGGACGAGCAAACTTTAGTGGGGAGTTCGTTGGATATTCAAGTTGATTTGAGGGTATAAAGATGTTGAGGTGGGCCTCAATAAAGAAGGCCCGGAGTCGGCGAGCTTTAGGAAAAGAGGAAGAGAGGGATGTATGGGATGGGATGATGAACTGTGGCGGGCGGAGGCTAGGACTGCTTTGCCCAATTTGCTCGAGAACGAAGATCTTTTGTGCAATTCATCTGATTGAAGTAGTTCACATGTAGTTGGGCTAGGCACAGGAAAGATGGTATTCGGGCCAAGATAGTTCGTTACAATTTGAAATCGAAGTGGTATCCAAGATATGCACAGGTTTCATTTCTACGTGAAGATGGGCATAAGCAAATACCAGTAGGGGACCAAAATCGCTTGAGATGGACTGTATCTAGTGTGTTTTTGTACCTCTAGGCTCTTCATTACTTAGACATCAATCATGTGTACTATGCCTTGGAGTACTGTCTCATGTTCGTTGGTTGGAATGTTGTCTGGAACTATCTCTAGCGACCAAATCAACCCAAGATCGTTGTTCGCTCATCCCGACATTCCTTCCAAATACAATACAAATACACAGCATCGTACCTCATTACATCCTCTCCCTTTAAATCCACAACTTTCTCTTCAACAAACAAACAAACTTGCCAGCCAAAATTTGGGGTATATCGCTAAGTGAACGAGCAACCAAGCTTTATCAAAATCAACCCGCTCATATCCTTCGTCATCGCCAACTATCATAAACATTACTCAAACAAACACCAATCAGGCCCGGACATACTAACCCCAACCCAGCGTCTCGAGAATGCCCTTTGCCTCAATCCCACTGAACCCCGAAACCGCGACCGCGCGCGCCTGAGATCCGCTCCGAAGCGACTGAAGGCCCTTCGCGATCTTCCAGGCCTCTTCCTCACCGACAACAAACAGGAAGCGTTTCCCTTCCTGATCGCGTATGGATGTTCGAAGGAGATGCAGACCCTTGAACTTCCACCCTTCTGCATCCTGCTGTGAAGCAGCAGCCGAACCAGCAGCGGAGGAGCCTGAGCTGTTATTAGCGTTCAGGCCCAGCCGGCAGGAGGTGCTGCAGCAGGTTCCTAGCTCGTTGAGGTAGGCAACAGCCTCCTCGCCGTTGAAGGCTCTGGTGGCGGCCTTCTCGGCCGCACGCCGCATCGCGCTGCTGGTTGGCATAATCTTGAACAGGGGATGCGAGGGAGGGATGGCACCGGAGGCAACGCCTGTGCCGCTGGAAGAGCTGGCGGCAAGAACGGGACACCACACTTCGACTTGCTTGAGGGTCCAAGCCTTGATGTCCCACTCGCGTTGGGCTACGCCACGGACATCGTCGTCGACGAAGAGACCCGCGGTGGAAATACGCAGGATCAGACCGTCGGTTACGGTGCCGACACCGGAGATAAGCTGTGAAGCTGGCGTTTTCGAAAACTGGTTGACAAAGTTGTATACGGCCTTGATAACAATCTTGCCAGGATCATCAGTATGGTAAGCAGGCCGCAGCGACGGGGGAGGGCTGGTGTTGTTGGTGGTGGCGGACGGCGCATACGAGTCCTCTGAGAAATCCGAGACCGACTTCTTACGGGCCGCGGCATGATTCTTAGGCTTGTCGTAGGGCCGGTAAGAGTATTCGTCAGCAGTGCCCGTTGCACTCGACGTTGGCTTGGGGGAGGCCGGTTTCGGTGACGCCGTCCTCGCTGCTGCTGCTGCCGGATTAGGCGATTTGGTCGGCGAGTGTGGTGGCGCGGGCGATGCGCGAGGGGTGGAAGTACGAGCGGTGGAAGCATGAGAAGTCTGCGAAGCGTTGGCGGAAGGAGTGACGATAGAAGGCGGCCGACCATTAGGCCACAAGCTGGTCCTCTCGCCAACCTTTGGCATGGCGTAAGGGGTCTCCTTGCGCGCAAGCCTCTCCTTCTCCTTTTCCGTCTCCTCATCTTCCCGCCGAAGCTGCTCAAGACGCTCCTCCCGGTCCCTTTGCTCTTGTGCTTCGCGGATTTCGCGAGCCTCCTGTTCCCTTCGCCTGATGGCCTCCCGGATTTCACGTTCCCTCGCCTCTTTCTGGTCCCGCTCAATCCGTTTCCTTTCCTCCTCACGCCGTATGGTCTCATCCTTCTGTCTCAGTTCCTCCCGCTCACGGGCTTCGCGCACTTCACGCTCTTTGGCCTCGCGTTCTTTTTCCTCGCGCTCCCTGGCTTCACGCTCCCTAGCCTCGCGCTCACGGGTTAGCTGTTCGCGCAGGAGACGTTCCCGCTCGCGTTGACGGGCTTCCTGTTCGAGCTTGATTTGGCGCTCGCGTTCCTTGCCTTCTTGTTCTCTTGCCAAGCGCTCCTTTTCTATAGCAGCGAGTTCCTTGGCTTCCCACTCGGCTTTCTGACGCATTTTACGCTCCTCCTGTTCCCTGATCTCGCGCTCCAGGCGCTCTTTCTCCAGGGCCTCTTGTTCCTTCCGCTCCCTCTCTCTTTCTTCTCTCTCACGGGCCACCTTCTCCCGTTTCTCACGCTCACGAGCATCCCGTTCTCGAAGCTCCTGCAGACGACGAGCGGTATCCTCGCGCTTCTTCAGATCGGCCTCTCTTGCCTTGCGCTCTTCCTCGCGTCTACGAGTCTCCTCTCTGGCCTTTTCCCAGGCGCCTTTAGCGGCTACTTCAGACTTGGTTGGATTGAGAGGGTCGTTCGGCGGCGTAGGAGGCTCATACGGAGGATCTTCAGGCTCATGAGGCTCCGGCACTGGCTCTTGTTCATAATCCGGATCATCTTCCGGACGGAGCTCGGCCTCTGGCGGCGGCCGGGGTTTCGGGTACGACCTTGCCTGGGATTTGCTCTGCGACTTGGACTGCGACTTGACGTGGGATCGAGTTTGTGTCGGAGATTGTGGCCGCCTATGGGAGCGAGTCTGCTTTGGAGACTCCGGTCTCTTATGCGATCGGGTATGCGTTGGGGATTGTGGCCGGTGCTTGGCCTTGGTCTCCGCCTCAGGCTCAACTTGTGGCTCAGCCTTGGCGTCTTTTTCTTCCTTCCACGAAGGTCGCGACCACTCATCGGCCGGGGTCTCGGGATCGGTGGGAGGTGTCGGGGGTTGGGGCGGGGCTTCTTGAGCAGGCTGGGAACCCTCGCTAGCAGGTGCCGTCTTGAACGCACCGGAGGCGCCGAATTCCCCCGTTGTCTTGTGCCAATCGCTGCCTGTCCCCAGTTTTACGTTGCCCGAAGAACGGCCGAGCAACCAAGATACAGCCGCAACGGCCACCAACAGGATAGACGTTCCAACGGTGCCAATTCCGCTGTACCACCATGCCAGGAAGGCTGGAGTCAGCGCTTTCCCCAGGAGCAGAGCGCCAAGGGTGGAGACTACACCAGCACAAAAGCTGTTCCATTGCGGCTGGAGCGATGGGAGGTATAGGAATCCAGCGCCGGCAGAGTGTTCGGGTATGATGAAGACATCATATTTCCCAGTCGGAAGGGCGCTGGAACCGGCTGATGTCTTTGGGTTCTTGCCGTGGGGCGGCGGTGGAGGCGGCGGTGCCTCGTCCATGTTGAGACCTCGCCGTTATGTTTTCGGGGTATCTTGCTCGGTAGTAACCGTCGTTAGGGTAAGAGACAGTCGCAAAGTATGGCGGCGCCTCGAAAGTTCGAGTATTAGGTTGTCCTATAGTACTCGTGGGCAGCCATAAAGGCAGCCAAAAATTCTAGAGAGCGGCGGCAGCAGTCTGAATGCCATGTGTCAGCCTCAGTCAGGCCTTAGTGTAACCTGCACGTTTGGAATACGCGAAACGGACAAAAAGGCGCAGCAGAGACATGCAGCAGCGGGCGCAAACCAAATCCGCTGTTGACAGCTTGAGATTACGAAAAGCGTGCGACACTTGAAGCTCCAGAGGATGGTGATGGTGGGTGGACTTACATGTTCGGAATCTCGTTACGTCGGTCGTTCAACGTCGTCAAAAGTCGAAGTTGCGCTAAGCCAGAGTCGTCACCCAACCGGACTTTAAAAAGCTGTGGTATAGGACGAGATTAAATGTCGGTGGCCGGCGCATACAACCGTTGAAGTTGGCAGTCCTTTCTCTTGGTCGCAGATGGAGGAGGGAGAGGCTGTGAAGAAGACAGGGGAAAAAGGAATTCAGGAAGCTAGCCACAACAGCATTGCAGTTTGTGTGACGCCCAGCTTGTTGAAACCGCAACCTGTGGAAGTGAAGTGGAAGTTGGAAGGCAGTGGAAGGTGGTGCTCCGAATTGTTTACTTTACAGTGGGTTTTCTCGTAACCGACACGGGCAGGGACCAGTGGAGTTTTGGGCAGCGGCAGGTGGGGTACAGGGGATGACAACCAAACCTGAGGTGGCCGAGCTGGCGCAGTCACACTCACAAGCTGAAATGGCAGCTGCACTCCCGTCGTGGGCTTGCTTTCTGCCATGTTCTTCACGACTGAATCCCGAGCACCCAAGAAGGCAGCGACCCGTCAACCGTCTTCAATACGATGATGATAATCTAAGGAGTTGTGTATCATCCGATCATCCGGATGGATCGATTTGCCAATTTGCTGAGTATTACACAACCTTACCTAACAAATCACCAGCCGCCAACCGCCAACCGCCAAATCGACTTCTTCACAGTTGACTGACACTTGACAGGCTGTAAACAGCTCCCCAAGTCCCCAACGGATTGTCAGCGATTCGCTGGCGTGACAAAAGTTTCGAAACAAGCCCAGGCCCCAGGCTTACCAACGCGGCTTGGCCCCTTGCCTTGTTCGACAATTGTTCTCTCTCTTTGCAAACAGATTTCTTCCAACATTCCATTCCCTTCTTACTTTCAAGCCGGATGGATTAAACTGTAATCATACTAACGGGTTTTCTTCAACAAAGAAGAAGCAGGGGAGGACCACATCGTGTTGGAAGGATGTTCAAGCTCAAGAAGTGACAAAAGGGTTTTTGTTGACCGTTGCTAGGCAACCGCTGCGTTTCCCGTAAAAACACACAAAGAAACCTGTCCTGTCTCCATCCGTGACGTAACAAGGACCTATAACCTAGGTAGAACTACAGGGTACGAGGGTCAACCACTCATTGTAACCAGATGGCTGGGAGCATTCAGCCCCGGGCCCAGCCACGCCACGTCAAACTTCACCGCCTAGCCTGCCTGGTTGTCCAACACAATGTCTTCAGAGTTCAGAATCATTTGGAGGATGCTCTATGCCATATTATATTGTATTCATACAGGACAAGGACAGCCAGAGGTAAAGGAACAATTTGATGAGAAAAACAAGGGTTCTGCGGCTACATGACATGACAAAGACAACTCCTCTACCTACTATATGTGGTCTTCTGGTCCCGTCTCCAAGTGATATATCCACCACCACACGACACTGTAATCAGATTGAATGAATGAATGACAACAATAGACACCCATATATAAACCAAACAGCAATTCAACGTAAACAGAACAAACACATGCAACAAACAGCAAATGAACCTAAACTCCAAGAAAAGCTGGGGAAAAACAAAAACAAAAAAAAAACATACCTGTGACAATCAGGTTTCTCCAAGAGAAAGAAAGAGAAAGAGAGAGGGAGAGAGAAGTTTGTAAAAAAAAAAAAAAAAAGGTAAACAGATTCAGGGCATGATAGGATCATCTCAACCAACCAAGTGACTCTCTTACTCCGTACCAACAGCAGGAACAGTAGTAGTAGTAGGTTGTATTCCCAAAAGAAGCAGACCAAACTCCACCACTTTGGTGAGCACATCCGACAACCTGCCCAACACCCACTGCAACAACCAGAACCCCTGGACGCCGGCGAGGACGCCCTTGACACAAAGCAAAAGGACGGCGTCGAGTATGTTGTTGCCTTCTTCGCTGCTGCTGCTGCTGCTGCTACCGCCAACCCCCGAGGGTGTACCCTTCTCTCCTTGTCTTTCTTCCTTTCTTTCCTTTCCTTCTGCTGCTGCTACATGCTCCTGTTGTTTCTGTGATTCTGTTTTCGTCCTCGTCTTCTTTTCGTTCTTCTTGTTGTTGCTGCTGCTGAAGTGGTCTTCGTCGTTGTCGTCTCCGTCGTCGGCTCCGTCGTCGTTGTTGTTGTCATCTGGTAATGATTCATACAACAGCCATTGATCGCGTCGTAGTCGTATGCGGCCATTTTGGCGGGGTCTGTGGACAGCTTCCCCCTGCTGTTGTTGATCTCCTTGTACCACTACCGTAGTAGGAACAACGACAATCTCGGCCACGGAACTTTCCTCGCTTGACATGACAAAGATCATCCTGTTGAGACTATCCTCATCGGCGGCTTCATCCTGCTCGTCCTCCTCTTCCTCTTCAAAACCTTCATGAATTGTTTCTCCCTCGGGAGGCGGCGGCGCCTCACGTCAACCAAGCTTCTTCACCCGTCCCTTGGCCACCCTTAGTTTCTTATCCACCACATCGACATTAGTGTTGAGGTTATCCAGCATGTTTGTCTGGCGCTCCACCTCATCGTTAATAGCCAATCCCATCTCCTTCTGCCTGCGCACGATCCTCGCCAGCGCCTCGACCTCCATATCCTGATCGCGCATCGTATCCCTCTGCAGCTGCAACACCCCGTCATTATCCAGTTCCCTCGTCCGTTCCGTCTCCGGCAGCGGCGCGCCCAACACCCTTCCCCCCCTCACCGAACCGCCGCCAGCTGCTGAAGACCCAGCAGCAAACAGCTTCGCCCTCTCCCCGGCCTCCCCACTACTGCTCCCACTTCCTCCTCCAGCAGACGGCCCACTAATCGAAGCCTGCCTCGCCGCCTCGCGACTTGCGTGCGCTAGGCTCGAGCTGAGTTTATCCAAGCCATCCCTCTCCACCCTGGCAGCCGCCAACAGATCCCTTCGTCGTCTCAGCTCCCTTCCCCGACCCTTCCGCTACTCTTCAACACCCCCAGCCCCTCCTGCAACGCGCCTAGCAAACTGCCGGCCCTAACCAACGCCCTCTTCGCCGCCGAGCCCGCCTCCAGCTTGGTCATATTCTCCGTAGCCCCATCCCTCCTCCCCAGCGCCACGCGCGCCTCGTGCAACGCGCCCTTCAGCTCGCGGTGCAAGTCCAGCCACGTGCCCGGGTCGCTGGCAGCCGCGAGATTGGCATCCTTGAGCCCAATAGCAGGGATCTTGCCCTCAATCCCGCTTCCGCTACCCGTCGTGCTGGCAGCCGCGTTACCGCCAGCCCCGCCGGGGAGGTTCAGGAAGGCGCGCCAGACGGGGGTGTCGCGCCAGCGACGGTCGGGCGGCTCGGCAATGGCGCGGAGGTAGCGCTCTAGCCCGACGCGGCGCTTTTCCGTGAGCTCGGGCGAGTTGACGGTGGATTTGAACCAGTTCTTTGCGGGCAGGGGCTCGGGAGGCGGGGAGCCGACGAGGGAGGTCAAGGCTTGGTGTAAGGCCAAAAAGTCTGAGTAGCGCTTTTGTACGACGAAGGAGCGCAGCGGAAGCCGGAGGGTGATGTTGTAGAGGGTGAATGGTTTGGTACCTCCAGACTCCGAGGAAGAGGAGGGAGTGGATATGGAGGTTGTGGGGATGGAGATCTCGGCTGGGGGGGCCATGGTTGCCGTTTGCCGATTGCCTTTTGGCTGCTGTGCGCGGGGATCTTCGGTTGCTTGTTTTGTTTGTGCTGTGTTGTGATAGTTGTTGTCGGGGTGGTGAGGTTTGTGGTGGTGATGGTGTTGTTGATGTTCAGATCATAGAGATGACAGACCTTGCGATGACGAAAGGCAGCAGCAGCAGCAGCTTTCAGGTCACTCGGGGAGTTTGGTCGTGTGACTGTGACACGATGCGATCGGCCGGGGAGGTGTAGGTAGTGCGAGAAGAGAGAAGCGTCGTGAATGTCTTGGCTTCTTTGGAGTCCGATAGTCAACTTCTTGAAGAGGAGGGGTTCTCGTCGGTAGATACGGATCGAATGGATTTTGTCGTGGTCTGTGTGGACAGAAGGTCAACAGGGCTGGCAGGCAGCACTGATGGTTACCATAGGTAGGTAGGTGATGGATCGCCAGTACTTGGCTCTGTGGATGGCTGAGATGACGGGATCGTTTCAATGCTGGCCAGGCGCTTCGAAATGAACTTGAACAATGTGACGGGTATCTCTTGCAAGATCAAAGAAGCAGATGCGAATGCCCGATGCAAAAAGGTGGGAGAGAAAGGACAAAAAAAAGAGGAAGAGAAATTGTGTCGTAATCAGAGGTCGAGATCGGTTTGGTGTTTGATGTTCAGTTCGTTGTTTGGAGAATCGGATTGGGGTAAAATGCAGTGGTTGTTGTCAATGCAGTGCAGACTGCAGCTCAGGTGCAGCTGATCGATTGGTGGTTGGCCGTGCTTGAAGTTGGGGAACCCTCCAGTCCGGGTGTGTCATTGCGTGGACGGCAGAGACGGATGCGATGCTATCGAGGCTATCCACAGCGTCACTGCCTAACAGGGTTCGCTGGCGTTTAGTGCCTGGACGAGTTAAGCGCCAACAGGCGAACCCAGCCCATTTCCGGGCACCTCTCCGGCCCCAGTGTTACGTGGCGTGGCTGACGGGGTCCGAACGACGGCATAATCCCCATTGTCTACCTACCCCGACTCCCATCTATTTGTGATTCTCTTTGCAGCAAGAGCATCCCGTGTCTTTCTTCCGTTCCTCCCCCTGATCGAAATAGGGAAGGTTGTGTAACTTGACAGCCTCAGAACATCTCAAGGGAGCGATTGATTCGTGATTCGTCCTCAGACACTGTGACACCACATGCACTCCTCGGGTCAAGAACACGAGGCATCAACAATCACATATCAGAGGTAATCAATCATGTCGCGAGCAACTATTCTTCTGCCTAGAATCTCATCACTACCACTCAAACTGCCAGGCTTCGCGATGCAGGAAAAAAAGATACCCAGATAGCTTTTATCTACCGTCAAGTATTCGTAGTACCTATGTGAGTTGCAGTGCGCGTGGACTATGCTGAAAAACGCCCGACCCAGCTGGTGTCCATGGAGCAAAGGACCCTAATGTAAATATTGCAAATCCGTGCAAAGAAGAGGGTATAGAGCAGAGGATGATCAACCCCATCCCATACATACCACATGCTGTCCGTCCCAAATGTATAAAAATAGGCGTCCCCTTTGTTATGCCTAAAGAGAGAGCCCACTAGTATCAGACCCGCCCCCCCCCCTTTTCCCCGATACACCACGCAATGTGTGCCCACCAACAATAGCAACGGAATAGTAACCCTTGTAGTCCGCAATGCGTGATCCCGAGCCAAATAACAACACCATTAAATACTTCTTTTCTGCCTCTGCGCAGCCCACCTCAACCTGCTTGCGCGGCACTGGCCTCCGCTCATTCTCTCTGTGAGCAGGTCGCGTCGCAGTTGTCGCCATTATTGTGAAACCCAGGTGTGATCCGTTTAAAAGGTCTCCTGATCGTCGGCGGCTTCGGCGTCGGCGTCGGGGATCTCAAAGCCCTCCTCGGTCGAGTATAGGATGGCCTGGATGGCCTTGATGAGACCGTCTTCCTGCTTCTCGAGCTCGGGGTCCTCCTCGACAGCGCTCTGAACAAGAACCTCAATGTCGCGCAACTTGTGGAAGTAGAAGTCGCGCTCGCGCTCAAGACCGCCGACGGCCTCCTTGAGAGTCGCAACCTCCTGCTGGAGAGCCTGGGTGACGGCAGAGCTAGCAGCGGGGGCTCTGGCAGCGACACGGGCACCACCGGTAGGAGTGGCGCCACCGGGACGTCTCGCGGCAGCCGAGCCAGCCGAAGCGCGGGAGGTGCCGCTCATGCTGGCAGGCATAGCGCCGCCCTTGCGACGGGCAGCAGCATCGTAATCACCGCCGGGGTAGTATTGGTCCCATACCTCCTTGGTCCACTGGAGGAAGTCGAGGTTGTCCTGCATCTTGCATTTTACGAGGGCCTCGATGGGGATGGACTTCTCGATACCGTGCTTGGTAAAGGTGTCTGGAGGTAGCCGTCGTCAGTATCTCTCTGTGCAGCTCGGCAGGTAGGGGAACCGACTACTCACTCTGGAGGATCTTGAAGTTCTGAATGTAGGCATATTCCGAGGTCACGTTGAACTTGACGCGGGACATGGGAACATCGCCGAAGATGCTGTCATAGATCTGGCAGAGGGCGGCGCTGTTGGGGTTCCAGAGCGGTTAGCAAAAGGGGGCTCCTTTTCACGGTCGGGCGCGGGGCGGATGGCGGAAGGCGGAATGGAGGGGCATCGCAAACTAACCCAGTACCGCACTGCTCAACCTTGGTGAGGTTGAGTTGGAGAAGGCTGTTGATCCATTGAAGGAGCTCTTGACTGGAGACATTAATCGTGGTCAGCTGAAGGTCTCGAGTGCTGTTGTTGGGCCCCAACTCGGCGGGATGCGTGGCCGAGGCGACAGGCAAGTCGGGAGGTGTAGCAGTAGTACACACCGTGATTCACCCATTTTGGCCGGCAAGTCTGGGGTTCGAGTAGAGGCGGTTGTAGAGAGGAAAGATGCCAGTTTGGCTGGAAAGCAGACGGTCGGGAGAAAAGAAGAGCAGCTGAATGCGCGGCAGGCAGAGATTCGAGAAAGGCGACAAGGGAGTGAGTGGTTGCGGAAAAGTGTTGTTGATGGAGAAGTTCACTGGAAGGCTGTCCGTTCAGTGGCTGCAGACCCGACTGTCGATGTCTTCTTCCCACTTGCTGGACTGGACTGGACTGGACTGGACTGGACTGCTTGCCTCTGACACGGGCAATGCCAAGAGAAAGCAAGTGCCAGCCAAATTGATGAAATCAAGGTCGAACATGAGCCAATCACGATCCGATCCCTCGGGGCAGCAATCAAGCTAGTGGGGCCTTTTGAAAGTGGTGGACTTGGATGTGGTCTGTGCTTGCACTCGCACGTGACCGTGTAAGCTGTAGCTCTTATCTTATCAATGTTTTCTTGTCGGCCTCTGCCGTGAGCTTCCCCTCCAAATGCAACCATCCGACTTCATAGTACAAATGTTTTGAGTAATAACGGTTCCTCACTTCACCTTCTCTTGACCTCTGTGGCTACGATGTTGCTCACGAAAATTGTGCCCCTTTGTTTTGCCCAGCAGCTCCAACGACACTCAATGTGGAAGATGACCTTACAAGGCGCACCCTGTCACTGATCATTTCGTTAAAACCGTTCGAATCTGTCGGGTCAAAGATACCGAGATGGGCCATGCTAAAGAATCAAAAGACATGACAAAAGGATTGAGATTCACACATAGTTACTGTCAATGACAAGTAGACAGACCGATGAGTCAATATGGCTTTTCTAGCTCGACAGTTCATGTTCATCGTCACTTTTCTTTGGCAACTCTTTCTCAGCATGACATCACATGTGGTTTGAAGCTAAGGTAGGTTTAAAGGCCAGACCCTCCGACAAACATGGCATCCGGTTCGGTCCGTCTTCTGCGGTGTTTCTTATGCCCGGGATCCCTTCATTCCGACCGAAAAAAGAGACGGGTTTGCCGTGCTTGGCAGTGGATTTGTCTTTTCGGTGGACTCTTCGGAAGATCAAAGAAGATCGGTGATCGCGGGGGCCGGGGGGTCCTGCGTTTGGGGAAGACCCTTGATGCGCGCTTGACAAGCGAGCGTCTTCAATCGATGGAACCCTTCCGCAATCGGTCGACTTTCGGACGACCATGAATGGCGCCTGTTCATCGCGACTATTTTATCCCAAGTTACCGGGTCCAGGTCACCACGTCATACCTTTTCCATGTGCTCAGATACCTACAGTCAGGGTCCGGGTGTAACTGCATACATGTACAAATACTCACCTGTATTCCCCTTACGCAGGACCGTCAACTAACAGCTTCTCTCCACGTTTTGACCTACCACACTTTCTATTTCTATCCATCCGAAACTTCAAAGCCGAGTTGTATCCCGGATAAGGTACCCCTCCACCAATACGACTCCATCCCATCCCGTGCTCTGACGTGATCAGCGATTCGAGCGCCCTACACCATCCCAGTGCCGCCATTCCGTCTCCCAAAGACGTCGTGGAACCGACTTCGCAACCTTTCTTTATCTCTATATCGGATTCGTATCTCGGGTAAAAGTGCGAGCTTGCTGACATTGAATATCGAAACAGATAGATAGATAACAGAGCATCTCGCCTTTTCCCCCAAGACCCTTGAATCTCTCCACCTCTTTTTTTTCCGCGGAATTCCCACTTGGACCAATACAGAAAACTCTTAAGTTCATTTTAACATTAAGAATCCACTTACACGTTGGCCGATCTTACCCTCACCATGACGGTTGACTATCCTACCAACAAGATCTGGAGTACCCTCGTAACCAAGAGGGCGTACTTTGGCGGGGCCTTGGTCCTCAACCACACCTTGAAAAAGGTGGGGTCAAGGTACCAGCTCAAGATCATGGTCACCCGCGAAGCCGAGGCCGACAAGGACTTCATGGCTGCTTTTGCTGCTGCCGGCATTCCCACAATTCTCATCGAAGGCATCGAGCCCACACGAAAAACCAAGGTCAACAAGGCCTTTTGGCAGAAGCTGGCTCCATGGGCCATGACCGAATATGAGGTAGATACTTCCTCTTGAGGTTCTTATCACATCAGATATGCACATAGGCTGCAATGTTACACTACCCACAGAGAAAGGTACCAAACCACTAACACCATTTTCCAGAGAATCGTCCTCCTCGATAGCGACCAAGTCATTCTCCAAAACATTGATGACTTGATGACCCTAGATCTTCCAGAGGGCTACATTGCATGCGCACACGCTTGCACTTGCAACCCCCGCAAGATTTCCCACTATCCCGAAGATTGGTCTGTTACCCCTTCCCTTCTCCTGTCGATTCCATCATGTTCTTCTTTCCTATCGATCATCTCCATCCACATCACGAAACCTTAACTAACAAATCTCCCAAAAAAAGGATCCCCAAAAATTGCCCCTTCACCTCGGCCAACCAGCACACCGGCTCCCCAGCACCCATCCACCCCACCTCCCCGCCCACCCACCACCTCCTCAACAGCGGCACCGTAGTCCTGACCCCCTCAAAACCGCAATTCGACGCTCTTATCGATGCCATCGAAACCCACCCGGACGTGCCCCACATGGTCTTCCCCGACCAGGACATCTTGGCCATCGTCTACCGCGGGAGATGGAAGCCTTTGCCGTACGTCTACAACGCCCTCAAGCCGATGCGGGACTGTCACTCTGCTCTGTGGAGGGATGAAGACGTGAAAGTGCTGCATTACATCCTTAACAAGCCGTGGGAGAGCAGAGGCTTTGATGGGGACGACGAGGTTGAGAGCACGCATAGGCTGTGGTGGGAAGCGTGGGATGAGGTGGAGAGGGAGTGGATTGGAAGCGAGGCGGGAGAGGAGAAGAGGTGGTTGTTTGAGAGGGTGGTGAGGCCGGCTGTTGCGCCGGAGTGAAGGAGGGAGGGAGTGAGTGAGTGAGTGATTGGACTGGGACTGGGAGGTTGTCTCTGGCTGGATGGGCTTGGGAAGAGCCTCAAGGCATGGCGGGAAAAACGAACATGAAGTGGGTATATGCTGTAAAGTGAATGGTTATATGATGAGATGAACTTGGCTTGGGCTGGCGGTCTTTTGGCTTATGTTTGCTGAGGGAGCAGGACTTGGAGACTTCGGTACAAGGTATGGCACGCGCCCTCTTAGGCAACGAGTAGGCTCGTGACGGAAATGCGACATGGTAATATGTTTCTATGCAGATGCAGATGTTGACTGAAGAAATAGAGTTTCTATAGTAATGCTTATGCGTTTCCATCGCAGAGGACTTCCACTTATAGTATGTCGCAATCTTCTTATCTTCCATTTTCTCAGTCTTTGGGAAATGCTAAGCCTCTAGAACTAAGGCGGCCGCCAGGACTGCCCATCGTTCCTTCCCAGTTAAACAAGAAAAGGAGGGGGTAACATTGGCATCGTGGGAGCTATACTGTACCTCGTTGTGGAGGAAGGAGCTTCGGATACTTCTTTCCCTTTTAAGTAGTCTCACACTTCATAGGCACCACAACCGCAGTCAACGAATCATGGCCCTACCATCCAAAAAAGAGTTTGAAGAGCAACTTAGACAATGTCGCCAAGGACTACAGTGATTCAAACGACCTCCACACTCATCTACGACGCATGGAGATATCTGCCCGGGCCAAGAAGTTGGTAGGTCATATCCAATACTGGCAACCATGCCATCCAAAGCTTCATCACTGACAAGAACTCAAACCGATACCAGATGGCCGAAATAACAGCCATCCACACTTTTATGAAGCTCAACATCCTGGAAGCGATACCCAGACCGGTTCGATCTTACTCGAGGACTTGGCAAGAGCCACAGGAGCACAGGACTCGCTCTTGGGTAAGTCCATTTCTCAGATTGTTCTCATGTTAACCCTTTCCATACCTCTAGCCCGACTGACTGACTGCTATTCGAAGAACAAATGGCCCGCCGCCCCCTCGTAGCCACAGGTTTCCTCGACCAGAGGCAAGTAGAAGTCCAACCCTCACACCCCAGCGGCAGCGGCCAACTACAGTATGTACAAGCACACCAAGTTCTCCCTGGCCTACATCATCTTTTCCAGCAAAGAACAACGATACACCAAACCAGGCCACCTCTTCACACCACTCTACGACCAATACCTAAAACTCATGCTTAACTTTGCCGATTCTTACCTCCCCTTCGTGGCTGCCTTGGCCCGTATCCGGAACAAAAACCAAAACCAAAACTAGAAGCAGACCTTGTTGCCCTTCTCTTCTCACGCTTTCTCCAATCCATCTTCTGACGCCGCCTCTCACCTCCTCCTCGCACGTCTCCTCCGTCATCTCCTCAGCAGATCCTACGAAACCCACCACCACCACCACCACCACCCCCACCCGTCTTCCTCTTCTTTATTCGTCTCCTCCTACTTTTCCACCAAACTCAACCCCCCTCTCTCATGTCAATAGGAGGGAAGGAGCGGACGGAAGCAGGGTTTCGGAAGATTTTTGAAGCCGCTGGTCTTGAACTGGTCAAAGTTTGGAGAGTTCCGGGGGTGACGGGGGCTTGTGTTGAAGGGAGGTTGAAGTGAGTCAGTCCGTGATGACGGAAAACCTTGAGAGCGTAGTTGCAAGGTGATGGGCAACGGTTCCAGCTCCACATTGGCTAAGGGGGTTTGTTTACTTCGTGATCTCGTCAGACCCTAACCCTTGTCGATCAAGGTGTTTTTGCTTCCTTTCATCCAAACCTTGTCTTCATCATCAGATCTTTTCGGCGCTGATGTTTCACGACCATTATATACAAGTGATCTTTGCGCTCAATTGTTTCAGAGACCACGGTTCAAATTCAATACCTAAAGTCACAAAAGAAGACCAGCAAACAAGCGCCCTCGACTCATTCTCTGGACCTTCTGATTCGCTCCAAGCCGAGTATCCACCTCATTGTCCACAACATGCAATGCACGAACAAGTTTCACAGCCCCATTCGCTCGGGTCTCGATATCCCAGGTTTTTCTCGAAACACCGAAACGAAATTCCATTTTCAGCTGCCGGCGTGTCTCACGTCATTTAGCTCACCTTTAACTTCCTCTGCTGTAACTTTTGTTTCTTTTGCTTTTCATCATTCCCACCCCATCCATCTAAAACCATCCCGTCACTCAACATCTCACCCATCACAACCACCTCAACCATTCAGGCGAAACCCATCGATTGGCCTCCGACCTCCGACATCCGGCCTCAACCACGAAAAACTTCAACAACCCAAAACACAGCAAACGCAAAAAGGCCCTAAAAGGCCTAAAACCACAGATTCAAAAATGTGCATCCGCGTCCTAACAATCTTCAAATGCGCCTGTCCCTATCGTAACACCCTCGTCTGTCCACACCATGTTCATGTCCGCGAACCATCTTCTTCTTCATCAACAGCCTCGTCAGACCTCTCCCCATCAAAACCGTCATCACCATCGCCATCTCGACCAAACACTGCTACTTCCTCCGAAGCCCCCGAAAACAACAACACTACCGCCGACACAAACGACGTAACAAATGCAGATGACTTCCAAAAAGGCTTCCACTCCCGCCTCCCCTCCGCTCTCCAGGGCCATAAATCCTGGACGCCCCTCCCCGGCAAGGAAAACCAGCGGTGGGAGCACTGTCCGGGGTACTTGGCCAAGAGCCGGGCCCTAGCAGCAGTGGCTTCCGCTGCTGTTAGCAAAACAGGCGAGGTACTTGTGGGGAAAGAAACGCAATGCGCCGAGTACAAAGCTACGGAACCCAAGTTCAGGAGGCGGTGGGAGGTGAAGACGGGGTTGTGTAAAGAGTGTAAGGGGGTGCATGGGATGGATGGACCTTCTGGTGTTGGGGTTGTTGAGGAGGCTCGGGAGAATAAGGTGGGGAAAGTGGTGGTTCGGGTAGGAAAGGGAATGCCCTTGGTGAAGGGAATGGTGACGGGGAACTTGAAGAGAAGCGAGGCGGAAAGGGGCAGGGGAAGGGCGAGGAGTAGAGCTGCTACGGATCCTACGGCTGGTGCTATGCCGGTGCCGGTGCCGGTGCATGTGGATGCCGCCGGGGGGAATGTGGTGAAGGGGGTGAGTGCCGAGGTTGTGGGAAAGAGGGTGGTGAGGAAGAGGATAGCTACTTTGTGAGGGTCGAGCAGTGCTGCTGGGCGGCTTAGGTGTCTCTTTTGGAGGCGAGCGGGAACGTGGATCGATGATCAAGTGGTTCCATTCCATCTGTTGAAGGCCAGCTGCCCCTGGAGAACGCCGCGAAAACGGAAAGGGCTCAATCCTGGAGTTGTCTAATGGAAGAGGAGAAACAGAAACCAGGGTAACCGAAATAGCTGGAAGGGAGAGTGCCGGTGAATAGGCAAGACATGTAGATGGCGGCCTAGGGCACGGACTTTCATTCAACAGGTTCGATTTTGGATTATCGGTTTTCGCAAAACGACAAAGACATTGGTACTGGACGAGGAGAAAGGAGAGAAAATGGGAGTGTGGGGTTCGTGAGAATCAAGTCCGACAGAGCGCGCATACTTCTCGGAAGAAGAAGACGCGACCTGGCCAGTGAGACCCAAAAAAAAATCAGAAGAAGAAAAAGTGCGAAAAGAAAATGTGGACTTACAGCTACCGGGTTCGAACGTAGAACGTCCACGAGAGCCGGGGGTAACATAGGGAAGAATGGGGGCAGGGCGGCTCTTAGGCCGCCAGCTGCGTCATCAGTCAGCAGCTGCGCGATCAACCAGCTTGACACGGAAATAGCGACTTGGGACAGTAATACATGTACCACTTACTTACACCTCTATTTACACCAAAGAAGGGTTCCTGGATTTTGGGCTGGTCATGTACCTATGCTACCTATGCCCAGCGGAATAGTTGGGATGGCTAGGTATTTCCCCTGAAACCTCGACTCCCACTTCCAGCAACCAGCAACCAGCAACTCCGGTTTCTTATCGCTCGAAGCACCAACTACAAATTCACCCCTCCCTCACCCAGCCCGGGGCTTCAACCGACAAACCACGCCCTTACACCGATAAAACCACCTCGAGCAAGTCCACCATTTTTCCTCCTGATCCACCAGCTCGATATCAAACGTCGCAATCAGCGTCGGCACGACCTTGTACAGTTCCATCTGGCTCAGGTTCCTGCCCAAGCAGATCCTCGATCCGCCACCAAACGCAATCGACGCCGTCTCGTACAGGCTCCTGCGCTCCTTGTACTGCTCATCGCTTTCTTCTTGCCTCTGGAGCCACCTATCCGGGTTGAAAACATCCGCGTCCTCGCCAAAGACGCCCTTGTTGCGACCGACGATGTAAGGGTTCATGCCGATCATGGAGCCGCCGGGGACGACAGAGCCGTCGGGTAAGGCCAGGCCCAGGGATTCGGCGGGCACGATGCGCTCCATGATCATGGAGACGGCCGGGTGGTAGCGGATGGTCTCGCGGATGACGGCTTCGAGGTAGGGGATGGCGCGGGCGACGGCGTGCGGGGCGGGCTGGCCCGGTTTGATGTCGGCGGAACGGACGGCGGATTGCAGCTTGGACCAGACGCGAGGGTCTTTGAGGGAGTAGTAGAAGAGAGCGCGCATGGTGATGGCGGTTGTGTCGGCGCCGGCGATTACTACATGGGAGGGAATTGTTAGCATCATGCATGTTTCGGTGCTTGGGATATGGGAAAGGAAGGGACGAGTAGGGAGACGAACAGTTCAAAAGCAGATATCCAATAATCTGCTTCGCATCAACGACATCCGGATGGGTAGACATGGACTCGATGAAATACTGCAAAAAATCCGGCCTGTCCTCCCGGAAGATCTTGTCCTCGCCCTTCAAGCGAGCAGTCATCTTCTCGATAGCGACGTTGGTGACGTTGGAGATATTGGGAGGGCCCAGGTGGATGACAGGGTTTTTTGTCCAACCAGTAATCCATCCACGGCATCTGGCCGCAGATACCGAGGTAGTCAATGGACTTATCGGCGATGGCCAGCGTGCCATCAAAGTCACAGCCCTTCTCCATGAAACCGAACTTGGTGCTGAAGGTCACGATGCCGAGAAAGTCCCAGGCGTAGTAGCCGAGCCATTCGCCGAACTCGCACTCCTTTTTGGTATCGACATAGCGTGTCTGGAGATGGCCAAGTAAATCGTTGATGACTTTGTCCATGAGTGGCTCCATGGCGAGAACGCTGGGAACGGAGTAATGGCGGACTACGGGGCGTTTCATGCGGGCGTGCAGAGCGTTGTCGACTTCGCTGAACATGTGGTACGTGATCTTGCCGTCGATGATGCTGCTGCTGTTCTGGTAGAAGTTGCTCTGTTGTCTCTGATTAGCCTTGTTGTTCAATGCTCAGTACTTTCTTTTGGAAATACCAACTTTCTTCCACTTCGGGTCAGTGGCATAGATGGTACGAGTGAGCTCAGGGAAGTCGAGGTCCAGAAGGTTAGGTCCGATCCGGACAATCGGCCCATACTTCTCGTGGAGCTTCTTCATGCGAGGGGCATACTCCCCAGAGAGTACCTGGCCAAGACGCCACAAGTTGGTCCATCCTACGTGTTGTTAGAATCTTGGGTTCGAATGAGACTCGTGTTAAGGGGAGAGAGTACTGACCTGCCAGAGCGGGACCGGGGTATTTCTTTAGAGGAGACGTCTGGTATGAGATGAAGAACCACATGAACAGAGTAACCAAAGAAGCTGCTCCAAATGTGAGAATCAAGTTGCTTTGAAGCGCGCTTGAAGCCCATGACTGGCCGACCTGTCCCCCAGGTAGGGTCCCATTCCCAATGGGAACGTTAGATGCCATCTCGGACATCCCAAGCTGTCCAAAAACTGAGCGTGCGGTATAAATAAGCCCAGAAGACGAGCAGTGGGAATCAAGATGGGAAGAGTAAAGAGGAGTGCAGTATCATGTTCAAGATGGGCGCAACCAACCCTTTATAAGGAAGATCACGGTTCTTGGCTCATCGTCGAAGAGGCGGCCACTATAGTGCTGTCGCATTGAGGAACAATACTTGGGACTTCCCCTCGCCTCGCCAGCCATGGGATATGGTGGACCACGCAACCCTAAGTGTGGAGTGTAGATATTTCGATGTTCCAGACACTGTAGCAGTGATATGCAGGTCTATCAGGCAAGGATATCTGGTGCTGGTGGTATGAAGATTGGATGCACAAATAAGGTGGTAGTGAAACTGGGATTCCAGGGGTCCTATAGAAATCAGTTATTCGATCGTTAGTCTTGCGTTTTGGGATTTCTCGTTGGCCTACTCTTTCTTTTCAACTTGCTCGACCGCCATTTCCATGCCCTCTTTAGTGCTCTGGCTTGCAAGATTAGTTTGATCCATCATTTCAACAGAAGATCGGGACTGGATGACATGGCTTCTTTGGTAGAATAGCGCTGTGGTAGAGAAGTGAGAGGTCTGGCAACCAACCCTCCTTCGTTGAAGTCGTTGACGACCTTTCCTTCGGTCATTCAAGTATTAGCACTCTGCAGCAACCGTTATACACCTAGGATGATCACAATTCTTGATATTGACGCTCCGCGGCCCGTCATCCATACACATGTCAGAGTTCCTGTAACGAAAGCTCGGCAGATTAAGAAGTATTGGTTCAACACAACGTTGATGCTGTAGGTGACCGACTGGATGCGACCACGGACCCCTACCATGATCTGCCGGTAGCTCCTTCCGCCAGCAAAGGTATCATCGTCGTTGATACCCCTCACCTCGAAATATTTTGTCGTTGTTCAATGCAAGAGCCAGCCAGGCACATCCTCATCTTCGAAAGTCTCTGGTAGGGGCGCAAAAGAAAAGCGCAATGGGCAGAGCAGAAGGAAAGAGTGGGAAGCGCTATCCCCACCTATCGGGTATCAAAACAACGGGTAGCGGCAAAGGCGTACAGCCACCTTCTAGATTTCTTCGCTGGATTGTCGGTAAGAAGTTCCAAGCCATGCACAGGTCGAACGCGGAAGATAGAACAGTGCCCGTTACAGGGCATAACAGGGTAGTATGCAGGCCACTTGGAACTGCAGTATCGTCAATTGTCCACTGACAGCCCATTCTCTTCCCGCTGACCCCATGCTGAAGATGTTTGCGAGATGGGACTTGGCTGCTGGCCAAGTACTTGGTGCGTTGAGCACAGTATGAAAATTGGGATTTGCCGGGAATGTGCTTCTTTCTTGCACCGTAGGAGACTCAACACAACGGGGCTGCAGAACTGACAGTACAAATAACTTCTTCGCCTGAGATTCGCCTGTGACAACCAACCTTAAATTCAACCAGTCGGGATCTAGTCTCCTTTTCGTCTCTGATGATCAGGAGCGGTGTTGGCAATGGTATACCTTGAGGAGTAAGTCGGAGTTGTACCGTTCGAGGAAGACATCCGAGATTAACTGTCCTGGGGCTGAAATAGGTTCGCATACGAGCTTCTGCTTCATACATAGTGCGTAATGGCCGCCATGTGTCGTTTTCTTTTTCGAGAAAAACGCTGGGCTTCACTGAAGATAATCTCTCTGGTCTTCCTTGAGACACAATGTGTCTCTGCCACTAACAGAGCTCGGAACCAATGCCGCCCCAGCTGTCAAGAACTCCGTAGCCGAGCGGAAGTATACTCGGGTTATCTGGTGTGGCTCAATTGACGTTGAAAAACAAGGGAATACCCGTCCCTGGTGTCCTAACGAACATGTTGCTGTGTCGGTATTATCCCCGCCGGAATCCGATCATCATTTCCTTTCTTCTTGTCTTGTTCTTAGGACAACATGTGAGCGAAAAACACCGTGCTGCCCGGCGTATTTGAAGGTGACCATGGAAGCTTGGACAGTCCGACGCGACGGACAAGATGTAAGCGTTTACTCCTCTGAGGCGTTGACTCCCCTCTTTTGCCCTATTTTTTTGGTCTTCTTTCCAGTGCGTTTTGGAAACCACCCAGCATGGGAGTAGGGTTAGGAGTAGGCGGTGACGCCGGTTGGGCTTTGGCCATTATGTGGGTGTTGGTGGCTATAGTCTTCATCTTGTTGTTGCTTCGCCTCTACACTCGGATCGTCTGCGTAGCAGCTTATGGGATTGATGACCATATCTATATGGTGGCATTTGTGAGTACAACCCGTTTACGAGAGCCCTCCAAACTGGTAAGAAAGCTAGCTCACATACCTTATCTTGGTGTAGATATTCCTCCTCCTCTTCACGTCCTTCATCCATCATGCCGCCTATTATGGCTTCGGACAGACGCCAGAGGCGATCGAAGACCCTGAACAGATTATGAAGGCAACCTTGTTCGAATGCATTGGTCAGAGCATAGCCATTGTTGGGATGCCTATCGCCAAAGCCTCTCTTGGGGCGTTCCTTCTCCGTCTTGTCAACGTCCAATGGCACAGGGCACTTGTCTGGGGCATGATGATTCTGATATCCTTGGCCTCGATCGGTATATTGCCTTTCCTTGTACTTTTTTCTTCGTAGCTGACAGCTGACTGTCCCACTGCTGTTAGCACAGGTCTTTTGTTTCTGGTTTGCCTGCGTTCCGTTCAAGTACACCTACGACCGTCGCATTCCTGGAGGGTATTGTCCCATCGACACCAGGCCGACTTCCTATATCCTATGTGGTTAGTCTTGGCCTCTCAACTTTTAAACCCTTCGGTTTTATAAAGCGTTTCTAACGGAAAGTTGTCAGCTTCGACCGTTGTCGTCGACCTGTTCTTTGCGCTGTTTCCTTGGAAGATCATATGGAGTCTTCAAATGCCGACACAAGAGAAGATTACAATCGGGTGCAGTATGAGCCTGGGGTTAATGTTAGTCTCTACTCTTATAGGAAGTTCCGTGCACAAGCTGTCCCACGTTGTACTAACCAGCTTTCCTTTAGTGCCGCCGCCGCCGGTATCAAGCGTTCCACCGAAGTTGAAGGACTCTACACCAAAGAGTATCTGAGTAAGGCACCTCCATATCAGTTGGATTATGATTCAGTCTCTGATTTTGATTCGTCTTATACCGTAACTCTTGAACTGGACTAACATCGCGCCACGGCTTGCAGGGGACACGGTCGGTCTTATTGTATGGTCTGCGGCAGAGATGGGCGTTACGCTGATCTGTATTGGCATTCCCGTCTGTCGCCCATTGTATAAGCGCCTCTATCAGCGTTTCCGATCGCAGATAACCGGCTCATCGGGATATCTAAAACAAACCGAACAGTCGAGGGACCAACCCGGCTATGCTTTGCGTACCATTGGCGGTGGTGTTCTGGAACCTCAAGGAAAGTCTCAGGTTAACAACCGAAAGTCGATGAGTGTGATTAAAAGCGACAACAAGGCCAGTGACAGGCAAATGGAGGTCACAATCGGCGTCAGCGAACGGTCCAGAACCACAGTAGTAGCTCAGGGGAGATTTGAGGGCGAATTCGAATCGGATGAGGACTCACTTGCAGATTATGGACGCAGCCACCTGGAAAGTAGTGCCGATAGTACTAGAAGGGTCTTGGGTGATGAAGAGAAGGGAACTTTGGAGAATACTCACCATAGCACGGACGGAATCACCGTCACTCAGACCTATACCGTCAATAGAAATTAGAACCTGGCCTTCACTGGTACCCGGTTAACCAACACCAGAGAAAAGAAAGGGCAATTTCATCTCTAACTTGTCGTCCAGACCTTCATCGTGAGTAGCAAATGCAAGATGAAAGTCCCCAGCCCACGAAATCAGTCACAATAGTAAGAGTTGGTAAGGCAATGCGGAGACATGCGAGTAGTTCTTAGAGGCCAATGTTTGATAACAAAATCTCTTATCTCGCTCCTGTCTATTATCAAGTAAACATATCATGGCCGATACGAACATTTCTTGGACACTCACCCGTAGGATTCAAAGGACAATGCGTTTGCAAGCCATCAGTGGTGTCTGGGGTGTTGCGTGCACCGAGTGTTCCGGACCGCGTGTGATTCTTTCGTCTGACAGCCGGTGGCGTCTGCAAAAGTGTTGAAAGGACAAAATATATCAGCAAACATTCCATTCTTCGGTCCCGTCTGTGGCTTTTTATTGGGATAAGATAAGCCATGTTTCCATGCGCCGGCAGATTCTCGTGGCTCAGGCAACCTTACTTTGACCTCCGCCGTCGACGATAAGGACGGCAATTTCCGAGGCCAGCCTCGACACCGTGCTCAACTGTGCTTATGCAAGGAAATTCCGAGATTCCTCACTCCAACAAGGCATCTGATTGAGCGATTACTCGTGGCCATGAACAAACCTATCGGAGTTTCAGTTAGGATGATAGCCGAGCAAAAGTCTTTTCAGGAAATCGTACGTCGGTCCAAAATCTTACCCGTGACAGTCCGATCTCATTTCTCCCTTGTCAATTGAGCTTTGGTCAGATCCCAGGCACACCATTCTAGGGCAGATCTCAATTCCCTACCCATTTTTAAGGCCTATTTGAAGCTGACGATGGAACCTCAATTCTGCGTCTCCTCTTTATTGGGGAATCTGGCCCATGACATTACCTTCCGTGGTATCAATCGTTAACTTGTACCACCTCAAATTGACATTCCTGACTACCCTACCTCTAGGTCTCAAAACCATACCTTAGGTACCAGCATGGCTATGAGTGAGGGTGCCTCGACGGCCTTGGCCATCATGTGGTTGATGGTTGGCTTGGTCTTTGTCTTGGTGATCCTCCGGGTCTATACCCGTGTGGTCTGCATGGCCGCCTATGGTATCGATGACTGGATTTATGTTGCCGCATTTGTGAGTTCAGTCTGACTTCAAAGTGGACATGGCAGAAGCTTACCCTGTTTTCTATGCAGATAATCCTCGTAGCCTATACCATTCTCATTCAGCATGCTGGCTTCTATGGGTTTGGCAAAACCGAAGAGGAAATAGGAAACTCCGCAAGTGCGACAAGAGCCCGACTGTTCGAATGCCTTGGACAAACCACGTCCTTTGTCGGCATGCCTCTCGCTAAAGCTTCCCTTGGTGCGTTTCTTCTTCGGCTGGTCACGAAGACATGGCATCAATTTTCTGTCTGGGGAGCAATGATCTTGATGTCCGTGGCATCTGTTGGTATGTAAACACCCTTGTTCAAGTGGGACAAGATCCGCGAACAATGCGCTTGACTTCAAGCAATGCTAACTTCCGCCCAACAGCACAACTGCTATGCTTCTGGCTGTCATGTCGTCCTTTCAACTATGTGTACGACAAGAATATCCAGGGGGTCTGCACAGTTAATACACGGCCTACTTCGTATTTTCTTTGTGGTGGGTGGTACAGCAAATTTGAAGATATGGGTAAAGAGTAACCTTTTACTTGTAGCTTCAACCATCATTACCGACTTCTTTTTCGCAATATTTCCATGGATCATCATCTGGAATCTTCAGATGCCCAGGCAGGAGAAGATCACCATTGGCTGTAGCATGAGCCTTGGCCTGATGTCAGTGCTATTGATGTCCAGTACGTTCACCTGAAATTCACTGATAATGAGTAGTACCGCTGCCGCTGGGATCAAGCGCATGACTGAAGTGGAAGGCCTGTATACTTCGGATTATTTGAGTAAGCAAAATCCTATAACAACTCTTCGAGAGAAAACTGACAGTCCCCTCACACTTACAGAAACCACCGTTCCCCTCATTGTGTGGTCGGCGGCAGAGATAGCTGTTACGCTGATCTGCATCGGCATCCCCGTTTTGCGTCCGCTATACAAGCGCATATACCTACGCTTTCGAACACAATCTGCACACTCGTCCAGATACCTTAAACAATCAGACCGTTCAAGAGGGGAGCAACCAGGATATGCACTGCATACGATCGGCGGAGGACCCCTTGCTATGGGGCAGAGCAACTTGAAGCGAGTGAACAGCACAAAAGCAATAATGCCCATGAACAAGAGCAATGTGGACTTTCGCCACATGCAAGTGCGTATAGGGGTCAGTGAGCCTTCTATGACGACAGTGGTAGCTCAGCAACGGAGGCTTGACGAGGATTCAGATATGGACACACTTGACGATTACGGCCGTGGCCAACTGGAGAGCAGTACTGACAGCGCGCGGAGGATATTGGGAGATGAAGAGCAGGGCATAGCGAACAATCACCTGGGGGGTTGCAAGACCATTATCGTAACGCAAAGCTTTAGCGTTGATAGAAGTTGAGGGTTATATGCTTGTCAGCCATTCGATGTTGAAATCCCCGTTGCATTGGAAATAAAGACACCAGTGTTGCAAAAGGGAGTGCAAACGAAAGCCAAGAGAACCCGAATCATGATATTAGGTACTGAATTCATAACAAGGAGATGGTGCCACGCCAAACGCCGTAGTGCAAAGGGCTGTAACTGCCTAGCAGCCGCTCAGGGGTATCATAGTCCGTGAAAAGTGCTGCTCAAGTGCAAAATGCAGGGGAAAAGACCAAAACAAGAATGAGTTCGTGTGACCCAAAACGATGTAAACTCCGCTTGCCATGCACAGGCCCATATAGTCCTTCCCCGTCCACGGGCCTCGAAAGCTGTCGTTTGGCTTGCTTGCGGACGTTTGTCGTCGTTAAGTACTGTTTTCGGCAATATCGCACGTAGACCAGAAAGCGGAGAATTGCTCGGGACTTCCGCGGTTCCTGACTCCATCCCTCTTCCTTCTCTTCACATCGCCCTCCTTGGTATAGTCTTCCGGTGGTCCACCCCTTCTTCGTTTCCCCAGGGGTTGCGTAGCCCTGACATCGAGCCATCTTGGCAGCATTGCCTCCTCTTGAAGCATCACGATGCCATTGATGATGACGAGCCCATGCGTGCAGACTCCCTTCAACTGGTGGCGAACACGTAAAGTTCTTCCGCTGCTGACCAGGTCGCATCTTTTGATTTGGGAATCCTTGCGAGTTCTTGTATCCGCAAATGCATCTTGTCGCTCCAGAGACGGCGGTCTGCGGCTTGTCCTTGATGGATGAGACCGGATGGGCCGGGTACTTTGTCGGTCTTGGTTTCCATATTCATATCCATCTGCCGCCAGTATTTGTCCATATCCTCCTCGTCGGTCGGAAGAGCCCCTGGAATGTCTTGAGCGAGCAGAGTTGTTTGTCTCGAGATCTTGATAGGTTTGCTTGTGATAGTGGCGAGGATGGGTTGTCTCTGCTGTGAATAGAGAGTAAGATACTGCGCCCAGAACAATCGTTTTATGAGGAGAACATGTACTCACTATATGATATCGGGCGAGTTCTTGGACCCTCGGTTGGACAGGCTAGCGAGAACTGCTCAGAAGGGTCAAGAACAGAGGTGGAGAAAAGTCCAAGTCCCATGACGTCGAACCCGAAGGAAGCTGGATTCAGTACTATTCTCTTACTCTATGGTTCCAAGACACAAAGACACGCTCGAGAAGCAAATGTGCTTCTGTATAGACGGCCCAAGAGACAGGGAACCCGTCGTTCAACGGGATACAAAAATAAGAAAGGTGAGATTCTCAATTGTGCCAGAGAAGGAATTAAGTAGTTGGTTGGAGAAATGAAAGAAGAGAGAATCTGAAATCCGACGCAAGATCAGCTTCTTGGGTCAACGTGGGAACAGTTAACATGGAGAAGGAGGCCGTGAACTCCTTATAACGGCCATAACGAGGACAGTTGAGGCAGTCATCCATGGCGATTGATTGATCCCCATAAAGGGCTGATGTCGTCTACGCGGCGTAGCATGGCCCATTTTTTGGGTAGTCCAATCTGAAGAGACGTGTTGTGAGGTAACAGCTGATGTTTGGTGAAAACGATGCAGAGCTCTGCTAAGGTAGGGTGAGTTGGTGGTCATTGAGGGCAGTGTTGCCTGCTGTGCCTGGGGGCAGTCCAGGCAGAACACCAGATCGCTCCTACCATTCTTGATGAAGGGAGGCACGATGGGGTCATCTGTAATTGTCAGCCACATCGCGAGTCGACCAGACTACCGCACCGCAATTGTCCATTTAAGCTTGAATGGTATTGCAGACACCGTTATAGGCAGGGGCAGCTAACGCGACAACATGTTCCTCTAATGGAAGGAAGAGGGCAGTAATCCAAGCTGCCGGAGCCGATGCGATAAATTGTTCGAACTCAATGATGAAATCCCCGGGCCCAAGTCCGATCGCCGAAGAGAGAACCTTGATCTCGGAAGCCGGCATCGCGGCGGGCTCAGTCCCGGGCAACCTCCACTTCTT